CGAGAAACGGGCCGCGCGCGGGCGGTTAGCGGGCTGCGCGCGCGAAAAAACGGGCCGCGCGCGGGCGGCTAGCGGGCTGCGCACGGGCAGCGTGAGAGGGAGGGCGCGCGAGGGCGCACTAGCAGAGAGGCGCACGAGGGCGCGAGGAAGGTAGGGCGCACGAGGGCGCTTCTAGCGGAACGGTGGGCCCTTAGGAACAAGCGGTCCTAGGTTCCTAACCTAGGCTCGTAATACCATGTCAGAATCAACAAAGGATGAATGAACTAGAAAAGGGGTGGGTACAAGTAGCAAAACCTAACTTTGTTTGTACCCCATAGTAACTACCCCACTACAGTCTAGACAACTGTAGAGTATATGTTTGACAATTGGTGGTGCACCTCTTGTTTGTGTTTCTCGACTATATCTTGTATGCTTTGCTTTCAGTGAAGCTCACTTGTTTGGTCAACATTCTTGCTACTCCCTTAACCTTGACCCTCGTCACCCGCTTGGCCTAGGCTTCTAAGCCTAGGCCCTAGTTAAACCCGTTTCTAGTTAAGTCAGAGTTGTAACTAATTCAACTTCAAAGGGGTGGGTAGTCGAGTACAGGTAGTAGGCGGCTGTTGAGTATGCTCCATGGGTGGTGTGGAGTTATGTATACAGGAGAATAAGCCTAAGAGGATGCGCGAGGAGGAGCCGCGACTAGTAAATAGGTCGTCAGCCAGTCGTTGACCAGTACGGATAATTCACACCTCGCTCATATCAATAAATCATTCGCGTGCATAATTCAATTACGTGCATAATCCGCTTGAATCTGGAGTTGGGATAATGAAAATCCTCCAGCCAATCGCTCTACCCAAGGTTCCATATCCGTTGGTGTGCACAGGGTAATGTCACGCAAAATCGTTTTCATACGTGTACGTGAATTCAAGCCTAAGGGGAAGTGCGAGGACGAGCCGACCAGTAAGGTGAATGGCTCGTCAACCAGTTAGTGACGTCTGTACGCGTAATTCGCACACCTTCCTTCCTATACGCTGGAATGGCGATAATTCAACGCGGCCTAGGAGAAAGGCAATAATCTGACGAAGGCTTAGGAGATAAGTAACTATCGAGAGGGGGAATATGGAGATGCAATAATGCAATCTCCCGCCACTCGCTCCACCAATGGCCATTCATATCCATTCGTGTGGAGTGGACAGCGAAAGACAAAGCGATTTCTTTTGTTACAGGACACGCAATTCGTCCGGCGAGTTGCTTTCGTGAGTTGCGACGAAGGAGGTGGGGAAAAAAAATATATCAAACCCCACAGAACCAAACGAAACCGAGCCGGACATGGGCGTTGAAGGTTGTGCTAATTCCCGCGCGTCGCATTGTTTGTTCCAGACGCCTCGTCAGAAATACCGCACCGCACAATCCACTGACCTTTGAATTTCGTAATACCAGAGTTTGATGTCCGAACCGAACTGAACCGAACTGGTCTCATTGCCGATCACAAGTGCAAACTGGCGGTGGCTATGGCCCTACTTAACTTCACGCTCCTCCCTCCCTGACTGACAGACAATCACCACCACCTGTCGAGCTTGTTAGATGAGCATTTCTCCCCTCCGTCAGTTGCGTTCCGCGGTATCAAACAAGCGAGTCTAATCAAGTAGGGCCACGCGCTCCGTTCCGTCATCCTCTTTCAACGGCTTCGCGGGCCGGGGCACAGGCCCTGGCATAGCTAGCAAAGCTCCTCTTGCGTTACACTGAGCAGCAGGCCTTCATGTTTGTTGAAAGTGGGCCGAACATATAAATGTTAGTATCGTTGACCAGCCACGTCGCTGTTCACGTGCCCATCTGGGTCCAATAGCGCTCTGCGATAAGCGTTGACCAGACTCGCTCAACAGCTGGTTGTCGGAGTAGAAATCGCCGAAGCAAGGGAGTTTCACAGCTGATTAACTATCCGCCAACGGGTAGCTTCCGTGATTATAGTAGACACCTATCGTAGCCATGCGCGGAGCGCGTAGTAACTGCCTACCCCACCTTTACTCTCTTAATAACACTTTGCTAAGGCGGTACTAGTACATATCCGAATTCAGCTGTAAATTCCTTGGGCGTTTGTTCATCTTGAAGTACCTGACCGCTCGTACGCTGCGGAGGGTCACTCGACAAAGTAGTGAGATAGACTACGGGGGGGTTGGCACGAACTACTAGGAGTGATCGTAGCTTTGCTTAGTTCCTTAGCGCTTGCACGCTCACGGGAGAAATCGGCAAGAGTTTCCACTAGCAAAGTTTGGATTACTGAATTAATCAACAAGCAATGACAACAATGACTACATCAGGCACCTAACAACTCTGCAGCTAGCCTGGTCGACCGCCAGCACAGCTTGGTCGACCGCCTGCCAGCGTTGCGTAGAGGAGCCGTGCCAGCACTGCAGAAAGGTGACCCTGCCAACATAGCAGGTCGACGGCGTGCCAACGCTGCAGCAGAGCGGCTGTCCAGCATTGCCCCGTAGAAGACAGCATTGCGCAGGCTCGCACGTGCGCGCAGTCGATTGGCCCGACTCGCCTCGTTGTGCATCCGTTGAATGTTGTCTGCGCCTGACGAGCCACATCGACTTTGGGATACCAGCCCGAATTCGCCTTCGCCCTCGCGACCTCGACGACGTTCGCGTGCCTCAGCAGAACCCGTCGAGCAGGTTACCCGGTCGACCTGGACACCACCAGGTGCTCCGGTCGACCACCAGGTGCCTCTGGTCGACCACCAAGTGCCTCTGGTCGACCACCAAGTGCCATTGGTCGACCACAGCTCCCGTCAAGCTACCCCCTGGTCGACGGACCCCTCCGTCGACCAGAACTGTCAGCGGTTGTCGCCGAGCTCCCATCGTCGACCGCTGCTCACATGTCAGGTCGACGGACTGCTCCGTCGACCTCCCTATCGAACTGCTCCTCCTGGTCGAAGGCCCACCCGTCGACCAGCCCAGTCAGCTGCAACCGTCGAGCACTCCTGGTCGACGGCAACACCACAGTGATCCCTGCAGCTCGACGAATCCCGTCGAGCAGCTCCCTCACTGTGAACAGTCAGCTGCGTCTCACGTGCACCCGACCAGGACGTTGGCGTCGCCCAAGCGAGGGCGGGGCCAACACTTCATTCATGTTAACATACGCAACGTCGACCCTTTGCGAAGATCCCCTGCATCGAGATTTCGATAACTACGTTAATTAGCGTGAGTAAGATGAGACGCTTGGAGGCGCATTGAACTAGCAGCGCTTCGTCGTTACTTGGCATTTCTCTGCCGCTCTGAGAGCCGCACTGCCGTCATTCCTGCTCGAACAAGAAGAGTAGTAGAAACGCAGCTTACAAGCACTCGCATAGAAGCGAGAGATCCAATATCAGTGAGCCAATATTGTTCGTTCAAGCACGCGAGCTGCGCGGACAGAGGATTTGGAGAATTTCGGTAGAGAAGTGGCGTTGCGGCCACCATACGCGCCGCCCCTCGCATTACCGTTACAAGTACCCCGGAACTAGTACGAATTCACTGCCCACTGCTGGTTTTAGAGTCCGAGGAGCTCTATATCGAGTGCAGCCAGTGAAGGACGACAGCGATTGCCTCCAGGAAAACAATCACCGAGAAGGTCGCAGAATGCAGCACGGCGCCGTTGCCGCTCACCCAGACTTGGCGTAGTGGTACCACTGAGGTGGTTGCAGGCTCTGGTAGTGAGGTGGCTTATAATGAGGTCCTTCGCGGATGGAATCAGATTTAGGTTGTCACGAGTGGATGGGGTATGACGAGCTGGCTCGGCGAACGCCTGCTGCGCCTGCTCGTTGTGATGATAGCAGCGGAGGCCTGGTGGCGACATTTAGTGTCTGCTCAATTGGTGCACGAGTCGCAACGTACGCTTCCTCTGCTCCTTGCCTCCACCCCCTTCCTGCCGTCCTCCGCGCACTGCGGCTTCTCCCGCGCGCTGCTTTTCTTCCGCGCAAAACTCTTTCTTCCGCGCGCTGCTTTCGGCTCTTCCGCGCCGCCCTCCTCCACGTAGGCCTGTCCCTCTCCCCACGCCTTCCCCCTTCGAGCTATCTCCGCCACCTTATTTCCCCTCCCATTCAATTATCACAAGAACACCGGAGTCCCTTGGGATAGCGCTCACTGGGGTATCCGCATGGAAACCCTTGCCCCTCACCTTGAACCAGGGGTGGGATTTTGCACGGGCCTTTTCTTTGCGTAACTTACGCCCCTCCCCCCTTTTTCTCCGACAACCCCCTTTCCCCGACCCCACCCACGACCTCTCTACACTGTCCTGAAATTCAAGACACAAGTGCAGTTACCGTGGTGGGAAGAGCTTTCTTTTGAGTCGACTCAAAACGAGCTGACTTTTGAGTCGACTCAAAACCCGACCCCACCCACAACCTCTCTACACTGTCCTGAAATTCAAGATAAAAAGTGCAGTAACCGTGGTGGGAAGAGCAAGTGCGTGTGTGCACCTGGGTTCACCACTGCCAGGAACATCGATGGGTCTGAGACATGCATTCCAGGTGAGTTTGATACGACTCGAAATACAAGTGCAGCAATCGTGATGGGATGGGAAGAGCAAGTGCACGTGTGCACCTGGGTTCACCACTGCCAGGAACATCGATGGGTCTGAGACATGCATTCCGGGTGAGCATGAAGATTGAATCATTGCAGTAGGTTAGGTCTCACAACCCACAATCTTCCCCTCTCTGCCCCCGCCTCTCTAGCAAGTGCACGTGTGCCCCTGGGTTCACCACTTCCAAGAATATCGACGGGTCTGAGACATGCATTCCAGGTAAGTTTCGGATCGACTCGTAATGGTAGGTCAGGTCACGTCACACAACCCACAGTCCCCGCCTCTCTAGCAAGTGTGTGCATGCACCCGGGTTCACCACTGCTAAGAACATCGATGGATCCGAGACATGCATTCCAGGTAATTTTCTAATCGGCTCTCGACGGTAGGTTATGTCACACAACCCACAGTCCCCACCTCTCTAGCAAGCGTGCGTGTGTGCACCTGGGTTCACCAATGCCATGAACATTTGTGGATCCAAGACATGCATTCCAGGTGAGCATGAAGAAAACGGTAGGTTTAAACGACACAATCCACAATTTTTTTATTGTACAAATATCTCTCCCCCCAACTCAGCTCCCCCTTTCCCACACCATGCTGGTACACTTGTGCATCAATTAGAATATGCCAGCATTCAATCTCTCTCTCAGAGAAAAAATAAGCACTGAACTTCCTTGGCATTTCTACCTGGCTTCCTTCAAAGTTCCCCTGTCGACGATCTTCCATTTCCCCCTTTTACCTGCTTCCCCCCCACCCATTCCTCCCCTCTGCCAGTCCGCGTGTGCGCCATGTCAGCAGCCAACCCGTTCCAGGTTGGCACATGTCTGGATGACGGAGCGGGCGGCTACAACTGCCTGTGTCCTGCGGGGTTCGTGGCGGATGAACGACCCGATGAAACCCCCGTCTGCGTGCCAGGTAGGTACTATGTATAGCTAGGCCAGAAACCCCCCTGTGCGTGCCTGCCAGGTGACGCTAGGCCTGGATGGTAGGGAGTGAGGCTACAACTGCTTGTGTCTGCCGGGGTTCGTGGCGGACGAGCGATCCGATGAAACCCCTGTGTGCGTGCCAGGTGGGTGCTGCTCGCTTCTTCTCACTGTGCAAAACCGTACTATGTAAAGCTAGGCCTGGAATTTCTCTGTGCGTGACAGGGAAAGCTAGGCCTGGATGACGCGGCGGGCGGCTACAACTGCCTGTGTCCGCCGGGCTTCGTGGCAGACGAACGGCCTAATGAAACCCCTGTCAGCGTGCCGGGTAAAACTAGGCATAAAACCCCCTCTGTCGGCTCGTTTCTTCTCCTCACCGCGCTAAATGCTACCATGTAAATAAAGCGCTGGAAAGCATGTACCCGTGCGGCTGAAACACCCACCCTTTCGCAAGACGTCCCTCGTCCTCACCTCGCCTCTCTGCCCACACCTCTCTTTGTGCATTTGAACTGTGTCAGAATTGAACCGGCTCAAGGCATGCGTGAGAGCATGGGTGCTCAAGGCATGTGTGATAGCATGGGTGCTCAAGGCATGTGTGAGAGCATGGGTGCTCAAGGCATGTGTGAGAGCATGGGTGCTCATGGCATGTGAGAGCATGGCTGGAAGAAGACATAACCTTCTGCTTTTCGTGGTCTCTGCAATCTGTATCAACGTCTGCTGCTTTCTCATTGTAGTGATTGAACTGTTTTTGCTGTGCATGCAGGTGTGCGTCGCGCATGGCACTCCAGACATGCCAGCGTGCCAGGAGTTTGTGACTGTAGCGGAGGGCGACAGCTGCGACACAATAATGAGGGCTGCACGTCCGCCTCTGAGCGCACAGGATTTCTACACGTTGAACCCAGGGATCAACTGCAACGTGGGCGAGCAGATACTGCTGGGCCAACATGTAAGAATTGCGTGTATTGTGAGGAGTATTGAGGCGAATCAAGAGTTCTACACGTTGAACCCAGGGATCAACCTCATCGTGGGAGAGCAGATGCTGCTAGGCCAACAGGTATGCTACAGGAGGGCTTCCCAGTGGCATTCTCAACCACCTTTGCTGTCTTCTTCCAGGGTGCCACTGGCATGGGTTCAGTTCTGCCACATTTCTGCTACTCATTTCTGTTACTCGTTACTGCTACTCATTACTCCTGGCCTTGTGTTGCATGCACACCAGTTACGAACACATCCTCTTCCCCAGCCTCCCTCTCGTCCTCCCTGCTTTCCACTTTTACTCTGCATATCTGGCCTTCCAGCTCTGTTCTGCCATTTGTGGCCATTTCTTTGCTGACTCATGTACTGTTTTTATCAGCAAACAGCTCCTTCCACTCTTCCAACCCCATCCCCTTCCCATCATTTCCCCCCATCCCCGATTTCCCCCATTTCCCCCCATTCCACATTCTCCGTGTGGAGGGTGTGTGGGTGCGGTGGGTAAACAATATTTGAGCCAACTCTTTCCTGTCCCCCATCCCACTTTCTCTGTGTGCAGGTGTGTGTGCGTGGTGGGAAATCAAGCTTGCTACTCGGAGCTACTCGGTGTGTAACAAACCTGCAGTACACGGTAGTGACGGGAGACACATGTGCTCGCACCATTGCTCTATACTTCAAGAGCTCATCACAATTATTGGCTCAATACAACACGGGTTATGTGTGTACAAACAGCCGCTTGTACAAGGGCATGCGCCTGTGCAAGCCACCTTAAAATTATCTGCAATACTTTTGTACCAAACAAAATGTCAAGTAGTGCACTTATAGTTGGCTCCAAACATAACTTGAATGCCTCACATTAGATTCGATGTATGCACCATGAATTCTGCAGCCAAGTCTGTTCCAAAGTCGAGGTCCTCGCTATTCCCCACTGTTAGGTTCGGCCTAGCCAGACGAGCCTTGGCGTCCGCATACGTCTGGTTCGTCCCCAGGCCTAACGACAGAACTGGCTGGGACATCAAGCAGAGCAGGGGGACGAATCGGAGGGCAAAGAAGGCAGACTGGCGCACATGGCAGCTGATGTTTGCCGAGGTTGGCGGAAAGGCCTCGTGCGGAAAGAACTATAGCGCAAGGCAACCCAACCCAACCCACCCACACCCTGGAGAGCCTCCTCCCCAGAGAGCCGCAGCATACTCTCATCCCATCTCATCTCGGAGCAGCAAATGGCTGGGGGAGACTCCTCTCGTTAGTAAAGACTGCTCTGTAGACTGCGCTATGTAGACTGCTCGAAATCTGAACTACATAGCTGGCCTCCTTGAGCGTCCAGAAATTCGTCGAGCTGCATGTAGAGCTGAACTGCGCGCTGCGATGTAGTCAAGCCACGTGCAGATTCGAAGTAGCTGCTGCTGTGAAAGCACCTGGCTAGCTGAGTGAGCATGCTGGCTGCAGCGCACTCATTCTGCGGCAGCGACCCGGCGTCGTGCTGCTCGAGGTGAGTGGTCGACTTCACGCGGTCGCAGCAACGGTAGCTTCTAGCTGGGGGTCGTGATGGTCAGGAAGAACACAAGTGACCTTATCTATCGATATGAAGATTAGTTTTATGAGTTCTTCTGGATCTGCTTCTCTTCTTGAATTTTGAGCCCTTCTACCAAAGCCGCTCCTTTGTTTCCATCCTTAGTCCGCGTCCAGATTAGTACTAACTGCTCGATCCTGCAGTATGGAGTCCGCACATATAAACTCTTTTCCGACCCATCTCCTTGTGAAGATCTTATGTCATACCAGTCAGCCGATAGTAGGCGAATCTGATAGCGAGGAGTATAAGTGCTTGAGTCCATGGCCCAATTTCGTTGGTGCGTATCGGTCTGAGAAGAGCATCTCTCCCATACAAGCACCTCCTGCTTACTCAGATACCGCGTGGAATCTTCTCATCGCTTCCGTCTGCCGTGACTGGCGTCTTCTGTCAGAATGTTATCTTATGCTCTAGCCTGTAGTGGGGTGCTCTATAGCGAGTACAACCCTTCTAGGGTTTGCTATTTGTATCCTCATTCTTGCTAGTGCAACCCTCTCTTCTTTCTTCTAAACTTTAAACATGCTATCAGAGCAGGTCGATCCCCTTGGATCGATCCTGTGGGTGGGCTTACCACGTCCTAGCTTCCGCTGCAACTCCTACCACTACACTCGGTGCCGCACGCCCCGTGGCGTGTGGCAGTTTTCTTCCCGCCGTGCGCCCCGAGGCGCGCGGCGGTTTTCTTCCCGCCGTGCGCCCCGAGGCGCGCGGCGGTTCTCTGCCCGCTGTGCGCCCCGAGGCGCGCGGCGGGCTTCGGCCCCGTCAACCGTCGCGTCGCCCTCGGGAGGCGCCGCGACGGGCGACGGGGACCCGTTCGTCGCCCCCCGTCGCCCGTCGTGGCCTGCGCGCGGCCCGTACAGGCAGCGCGCGACCCGTACGGGCTGCGCCAGGCCCGCGCGCGACCCGTACGGGCTGCGCCAGGCCCGCGCGCCACCCGTACGGGCTGCACCAGGCCCGCGCGCGGCCCGTACGGGCGGCGCCAGGCCCGCGCGCGGCTCAGGCCGCCTACGCGCGGTTCGGGCGACCCTACCAGGCCCGTGGTGGGCCCGCTCCTTGCTGCCCCTGCCCTCCCTACTGTCCCCCAGCGCTTCTACTCGTGCCCCACCCCTCCTACTCCCCATTCTCCTGTATTAGGGTTTGGGGGTGCGGGGTATGGGGGTGCACCCACTGTGTACTGTTCCCTGCTCCTCCTCCTCCTCCGTCTCCCTGTGCTGCAGCTGCCGCTGAGGGGGGGTGGACGTGTTGGAGCCGGTGGAGTGGTACTAAGGGGGGGTGAAGGGGGAGTGGAGCTAGCGGTGTAGCAGCGGGTATGTGCCAGGGGGGAGTGGGATAGTTTGGGGAAGCTGAATGGAGGTTGCCGTCGTGTCGCCAGCAGCACCTGTATTCCGGGGACTTCGTCCGGTAGCCCAGTCGTAGCCAGCTGTGCCAGCCGCCCGTGGGTCCGTTGCTCGTCTGCCGCTACTTTAGCCGCGGGGCCTGTTACTCCTGTATTCCGGGGACTTCGTCCGGTAGCCGCTGTGCCAGTCTGCCTCCTGTTGCCTGTGTGTCTGCAGCTTCAGCCGTCGCCTCCTATCTCCTCTCCTCTCACTCTCTCTCCTCCTCCTCACTTGCCCGTTGTGACTACCACTAGCTTTGCTCATAATTGTGAACTTAAACTATTGCTTCTTGAACTTGTGCTCAGAATGTGTGGTGACATTGTGATCCACCCTGAGCTTGTACTCCTTTGCTTACTCTGCTGATTACACCCCACTTTGGCTATGGGGGTGTGTCAGAATGTTATCTTATGCTCTAGCCTGTAGTGGGGTGCTCTATAGCGAGTACAACCCTTCTAGGGTTTGCTATTTGTATCCTCATTCTTGCTAGTGCAACCCTCTCTTCTTTCTTCTAAACTTTAACATCTTCTTGCTCGGCGCCACGTCAGCAACCTTTCTGTCAAAGAGGATCGCGTCGTTTCTCGTCAAGATCTCGCCAACGCCATTAGTTGTTTCCCGAACCTGACCCATCTCCACTTGAACGACGGCAGCGTGGAGACCGTCGACGACGCCCTCCTCGCTCACCTCGCCTCCACTTGCCCTAAGCTCAAGGCGCTGCACGTGGGAAGCAGGATCAACCTATTTGACTACGAGACTGCTGCTGTCGCCGAAGAATTTGAAGATCGGCATTCAATAACTGATGATCGACATCCATTAACTGAAGCTGGTTTGGATCAGCTCTTCAGGCGGTGCACATGAATCGAGCAGCTTTCGCTCTTCTGCCTCCACCGAGACGTCAAGCTGCCTCCTTCGTTCCTCCAACTAACTCGCATGCGTTCCCTTGTACTAACAGACTCTTCTGTTTTAGAAGCTCCTGGTTTTGCTGGTTTCTGTTCTCTCTCCACTCTCGTCATAGCCGCACAAAACCTTAGTACTTGGCAATTCTTAGGTTTCTGTTCTCTCTCCACTCTCGTCGACTCCGAAACCTTTCCAGTCTTTCCATAACTAATGACACCATTTCCAATGTCTCTCGTTATTCTCCATCTCTACAGCTACCCTGTCTGACGTCGCTGCAGGTCAGATGCGCTGGCCAATAATTTTACGAATTGTTTCCTTCAGGCTCACCGGGCACTAATCTTCAACGGTTGGAGATTGGCGAGATTGGCTGGGTCCACTCTCGTAAGATTCTCCGCACTAACATTGCAGATATGATGCCGGGTCTGCGGGAGCTGAACATTTTTTGCTGCAACAACTTTTCTAAGCTGCCAAAGGAACTGACCTCCCTCAGACAGTTGGAGAGCTTGCACATTGCTTTTTGCTCTCAGCTTTCCAGCCTTCCACAAAACTTTGGAGAGCTGTCGGCTCTCAAACGGTTGGAGCTGAACTCGTTGCATCTCACAGACCTCCCTGACTCCCTCTGCCAACTCACATCCCTGGAATTCCTCTCCCTCCTCAATTGCCAATGGCTCATTGAGCTGTATCTGGGACCCTCGCAGCTGCTGATGTTTCCAGATGATATCGGAAGGCTGAGCAATGTGAAAACACTTCTTCTTCAAGAGAATCGTGAGGTGCAACAGCTGCTCCCATCTTCCTTCACGGAGCTCTCCTCCCTAACGCATCTTGAGATTGGTCGCTCCAAGATTGTA